CACATCATCTTATATATGTCATGCAAAAGTTTTGGTATAATTTGGGCCGAAACAATTCACAAATTTATAATTAAACATGCATTTTAAAGTTAAAGTCTCAAGTTAAACTTTTAAGTATAAGTTGCTTAAAGGAAAAGCACGTATGTGTGCATAAAAACCAATGGATTATACACAAGGAGTAGCAGCTCAGTTTTGCGCCCATCACCATTTTATAAGACGAAAAATAAAATAAAATAAAATAAAAAGTTATGGCTATTTAAAAGTATGAACCACCACACATGGGAAAAGCAGAGTTGAAAAGCGACAGCAAATGTGCCCCACTTGACTACGCAGCTCTATTATTATGCAGATAATAAAGGACCCCATCAAAAAAGATTAAATTTTACCAATTTTGTCTTGAGGCCTGCCACAGTTATAAGATCTGATTTGGATATAAATCCTGCATCAAACTATGCCCAATGCAAAGATTTTGTACATTCATGTTTCATAATCAAACATGTGAGAGAGAGAGAGAGAGAGAGAGAGAGAGGTACACAATTCAGGTTGTTCTTCAATTATTAATCTTGGGTATGAATTCTAACCTTTTAATAATTGCAAAACTAATTACTTTGCTAGATGTTGACCAGCCACAAAAGTAGGTGAGGCTCATATCAGATTATTATCTTTAAGCACAAGTGTGTGAGTTGAGACATGAGACTTTCATATCATCATAGCTGGAAAATATTTACATATACTGAGATAATCATTTTAGGAATTTTTTGAGGTTAAAGTGTTAAACAAATTTGTTCAATCTCAGGTATGGAATCAGAGAAATATATAACACCAGAAAAAAAATTAAATGAACTATAAGGAATGTCATTGACCCGTCTATATCGGCAACATGACAAACATATATCAGTGTTCGAAAGAATTAAAGTTTTGTTAGCCTACCACATGTTACGTCAGATACAATTTGTCTCCTTTTCTAGTTTCTAGTTCTACTGCATCCAACCATAAATTGGTTTTAGTCTTCACGAAACTGGTTGAAAATGTGATTAATAAATGGTATTATATTAAAAGAACAGAAAAGTTTTTTTTATAGATATCATAAGTTAATCACATGATAAATAAAATATCTTAATTGTAGGTTTTAATAAAGAAAATTGTTCTTTGTTTTGGGTAATTAATTTCTTTTAACTTGAAAAACAATATACTTTCATTCCATCATTCATTAGCTTCTAAACCATTTCATCTAATCATAATCCCTAATCCTGTCAAAATTCTTAGGGAATGGATCCTCTTTGATAAATATATTTTTTTTTTTTTATAACATCTTTGATAAAATTTTACATGAAAGGATCATGTGAAATTTTTATGTCTATCTTTTTTCTTCATTAATGTTAACAAATTATAATTAGATCCCACCTATTTAATATATGTGAAGAGAGAGATAGACACAGATTATGTGAATTTTTAACATGAGATGATTTACTTTCAAATTTTTATGATTTTACCTTTTAAACTCCGACCCATTGTTTAAAGAAATTAAAGAAAACCTTAATGACAAATATTGACAGAAAATTTTATCCATAACATATACATCTTCACATAAAAATCCTTTCATAACTCAGCTTAATTGGTGTCTCTGATTTTCACTAGATAGCTAAGACTAATATGAAGGCAAGGACGTGATATGAATTGGGTTGTAAAGTGGAAGGTGATGATATGATCAGGTGGCAACATTTATTTATGTGCTTTAAAGTGATGGAATGATGGAGAATATGGAGGCTTATTACATGACACATGCAAGCCGTATGAGTTTGTCATATCCATTATATGAATGTCACTCTCAGCTTCCCCGTAATTGGGAGCAAACAAAGGGTTCAAACCCCCACATATAGAGAAATTAGTGTGCAACGAGGAAAAGTGCCACAATAATGCGATGTGCATCCAAAAACCCATTATGGTCCTAAATCTACCACCTCAACGGCACAATGGGTCTATAAAGATACAGCTGGAACACTATTTGGACCCAGATTTATAATGCACATCTTTCTCTCTGTCATTTTTCATAGCGAAGAATGCTTATTGCAAAAGAGTTTTTGATAAAGGAAAAAAATTATTAGTGTTTTAAATAAAAAAATTAATATACTAATTTCATAATATTATAATTTCAAAATGATATAGATATATTGTTTAATAATTTTGAGATTAAATTTATTAATTTTATACAATTAAATATTTAATTTACTTTATACGCTCTTGCAATTTGAATTCGAACCGAGGACATAATACCCACTTATTAAGTGGGTGACTATTAGACAATAGCCTGATAACAATATTTAATATTTTAAATAAATGTATTATCTTAATATCAAATGGATTTAGATAAAATATTTGTTAAGTAAAAAGAAGAAGAAGCAGGAGATCATAGCACCAAGGAATGAAAAAGCAGCAGATAAACAAAATAAAAATCGAGGAAGTAATGATCTTATGGTAGAGTCAATAATATATAATTTATTTTTGTACTAATAGAGAATAATAAATCTGTACTACAAGCTGTATTATATTTTTACTTTTCTACTATTCCTGGGCTTGATGTTTTTTACAGCTACTCTTTCAATAATGTTAGCTTTAATTAGCTGTGCAACTTCCCGTTTTAAAAACGACAAAGTTGTGTAACACGATTTTACCTTTACAAGGGTTTGATATAGGAGATATTTTTTTATGCCTAGAAATTATAAATAACAGGAATATGACGAGAAAGTAAATTTTTGAAAATATGAGCAAAAAGTTGTTTGGTAGATTAAATATTACCATAATGTTGATTAAGATTTCCTGACTCTATATTTGGTTGATTGTCAAATATTATTAAACATGTAGGATGATTTTAAAAACTGCTTTGTTGACACTAGTGGCGCCATCACCGAGCTATTGGTGCAGGAAGAAAATATTGTTTGGTGCAAGATAGCGTCATTACCGCGGAGACAAAAAATATTTCCGCCTCTTGAAAATCCAAAAATACCATCTTCCTCGTGGTATTTTTAGATGATATTTTGCCTTAAAAAATATTCACAAATCCTAATTCGAAAAAAATCAAATTCTCAAAAATATTTTCACAATACTTATACCAAATTCCTTTATCACTAGTTTCTTATCCCTGTCTTACATAACTTATTTTAAACTAATAATAGAATTATAATTTTATTTGATAATTAAATATCTAATGTATGATTTAAAATTATTTTTTTATTCAACTGATTTTTTTTAATGATATCTTACAAAATTAAAATTAATTTACAAGTACTTGTTAGTCTAAATAACAAAGTTCGTTTTCGTTTAAGTAAAGTTTTGAGAATAAAAAAAGGGAATATCATTTCTGCATTAAAAATAAATAAATATATGTTATAAAAAAAAAAAAAAAAAATATATGCCGTATAGAGAGAAATGATAATACATTTATCTGCTTTTAAAGCAGAAATGATATTCCCATAAAAAAAAATGTTAAAAAAGTTTTGTTTTCTTCGGTGGATTCATGGATCGCACTCGATTCAAAATAGTTAGGACCAGAAATTATTTAGACTTTAGAGTACTGAAAATATGAAACCAAAAATAAAATTGCATGACTTTTTAAGAGAAAAAATAAAAAATATAAAGATTTTTTTATAATGTCTTTCTTTTCGGTTTTTGTCAAAGCTTCAGTTGTCACAAGCAACAGATAACACAAATGTCTTTGATATGCGTTGTTATCATTTATTATTGAATTTTCATGTTATAAGAAACAACACCTTTATCTAATAATATTAATAAATTAAGATTACAATATGCATGAGCTTTAATGGAGAGTGAATAAATTCTCACTTGTTTACTTTATAAAAAAATTTACTTTAGAGTAGCCTTATCATATGCTATATTTCTTTTTATAGTTTGGTACTTAAATGATAAATAATTAAAAAAATTATTTAAAATGATTAATCCAAATTCTAAACGAGTTATTTGACGATGAGGTGGGTGGTAACCCATGCTTGGCATTGTTATTGGGAACTCCATAGAAGATTTTCAAGAATCTTCTTCGATTGAGTTTTCTCTCTATCTCCAAGGTCATGAGGTACTTAATAATGACAACATCCACAGCATACCCCCAATCCACACATGGAATAAATCTTTAGCAATTGATGCACCGAAAATTCAATTGATACATCAAAGATTCAATACAACTGGCATTCATTTTGACATGTGAACAAAAAATATCATATAATTTTAAAAAGATAAAATTAAATTACAATTAATAAAATAATGATATTTTTTATCTACATACCTCAAAATAAATGGTAGATACAATGAATCAGTTGCACTAAAGATTTGTTCTCATACATGCAAATTAATTGCAGAGTTGGTGCGTGTTACTTTTCTGATGGTAAATTTGCGCGGCAATTTATGCATAGCCAAAGGATACTTTAATTTCCAACCATTAAAATAACATAATTCTTCCTTTTATATTATCGACTCATCATATTGTATAACATGGAATACACTTACATGGCCCTTTGATTTATCAAATATATATAAAACCTAGCAATCCATGATACGATCCACAATTTTCCAATTACTCTGTCATTCAAGTTTCCAAATGAATTAAATAAGAAAAGGACATAATTGCATCAATTTAATGTTTAGATTGGGAGAAAGAAAATAAAGAGGAAAGAATGTTAAAAAAAATATATATGAAAATGATCTTCTTGTTCGGGGAAATAAAAAAAAAAAAGTAGTTCCTTTATATTTTGCCGTTGCATAGAAAACCGGAGTCTCGTGGAAAGAGTAAACTATTTCACGGCCAGCTTCTAGGTAAATAATAAAACAAATAAATCTAATTTTAAGCATTATAACCCCTCGCATCTAGAAGTCAAATAATTGTGGCACCATATGAGTCCCTCCCTATATAAACAGAACTAGTCTACATCCATTTCAAGCAGAATTATAAGTTAAAACACACCTATCTTTTCTTGAAAAGTGTCCCAACCCCAATTTTTCAGCTTCACACCAGTTGAGAAGGCAAATACAGCTTCATCCCAATCGTGGATCTTAGGAATCTGAAATAACAATAGTAACGGTGTAACTAGTACACACCTCAGTACTCGATTAAAAAAAAGAACTCGAATATTCATTGTTTTATCAACCTATAATTTAACGATAGCAAACATGCATTATTTCGGTTTGCAAAAATATATGCATAGGTTTCTCAGCTTCCAATACAACCAGAAAGAAACAAAAAATAAAGGCACGGAAAAGAATATGGGAAAAGAAGACAAAAGGGACAGAAATCAACCTGAGAATGGGCACACCACATCGGTCTTTTGCAATAACCAAAGTTCTTTAGGACGAAGAATCCTTCTGTATTAAAAATAATAACAATAATGAAGAGTAAATAGCACATTAGGCAAAGAGCAGATTACAAGGCATTCAGGTCAGCAAAGCCAAATGTTGTAGATATTTTTTTCCTCCGATTTAGTAATATTATCTACTGTATTATGATGAAGGTCCACCTATGTACTGTGGGGATTTTATACATAATGTATAACCGTTACAAACTTTGGCTAGCAAATGAATATTGTAGAACTCTAGGCGATAACAATGGCATGCATACACCGACATCGACCACCTCCTTTCTAATCCTGCGTGGAAATTGTTATAATTTAACATTCAAATGATCCTGTTTCAGGTTTAGTGTATTAGAAGGCTAGAGCCAAGGAAAAATGTCATCCTTCAAACAGAGTACACGTCTCTCTAGATGTCTATGTATACATTGCTACATCTACATCTGTGTGTGTATATAATCTTTCCTTCATCTAACAACAGAAAAGATTAGGTGGGATTTTGCGACTTCTGATATATCAACAATATACCCTTAAAAAATAATCAAATTAGTACGAAGCTTTTACTTTTATTGATTTTAAGTTTCCTTTCACTGTCATCACAATTTATTGATGTATTTTTTTCATAAACACTAGTAGGCATACTAAGCAAACTAGTAATCACAATACAGGCCAGAAGAAGGCACAGAGCATTTATACTTGTGGCCGATATTGTGAAAAAGACATTTAGCAAAAGACAATGCATTATATCCCTAACCTAGCTAGTTTCTAAATGGTGATTAGAGCAGTAATTCACAAGTACTAGTTTGAATCTACCTTCGACTGCAATATCTTTTGACTGTCACTGAAGTATTGATTTGGATGGTTAATCCCTGCATCACATGGCATGCCGTGAAGAGCTTCAAATGTCAAGGTGCATGCCAACTGCACATACAGTACCCATATCATCAGACATCAAATCCAAAGGTTAAAACTGATAATTGAAGTTCAGCGGGTTATAAAGAGACCTACTTGATAATGTCTATTTCTCACTTTGTCTATCACATCCTCCATTGCTCGACTGTTCACTCCCATTCTGCTGAGAGCAGCTCTTAGATTCTCTTCACTATTAAATTGAAATGACATCAATTAAATATCAAGTCATGTCTACGCAAATAATAATAATAATAATAATAATAATAATAATGTCGTAAAGAATGAAACTGGACAGCAGAATAAACATTCCCAATGATAATTAAAAATTAGAGTAAATCATAACCCCTTCAACTTTATTTGATGTGCAGCTTACTCCTTATGATTCTGATTTTGGCGATCTACCCCCCATCACCTATCTCATTATGCAAATCAAGAACAAAGGGCATGGCCAAGAATAGAGCCAAACTTTTTGCTATGCCTAAGTTCCACCATTAGATTCACAATTAGATGATTCGTAATACTTACAAAGTACAAATAGTATAACATGAAACATGCATTATTTCTGAAACCCACTGAAATGAAATTAATTTACCATCAAGCATTGATTTGTAGATTATAAAAATATGTAGTGAGAAAAGGGAGGGGGAGGGGAGACGGAATTTAAATTTGTTCCCCATGATTCTGATTTTGGCGATCTACCCCCCATCACCTATCTCATTGGGCAAATCAAGAACAAAGGGCATGGCCAAGAATAGAGCCAAACTTTTTGCTATGCCTAAGTTCCTCCATTAGATTCACAATTAGATGATTCATAATACTTACAAAGTACAAATAGTATAACATGAAACATGCATTATTTCTGAAACCCACCGAAATGAAATTAATTTATCATCAAGCATTGATTTGCAGACTATAAAAATATGTAGTGAGAAAGAGGGAGGGGGAGGGGAGACAGAATTTAAATTTGCTCTTTGGTTATTTTTTGGTAACAAGGAGGGCTAAACGCCCAAACAGCACACAAAAAGAACTACAAAATTCTAATAGACCGAATCCTACTCAAAGATGAGAGATCAGCCAAATACAAAAAGATAAGACCTAGAGGATGGACTGGAAGATCTTAGTCCTATCATGATCTGGATGGAGGAAAGGGTAGTTTGCAAGAATGAAATTATTACTGTAAATGACAAAACCTTTCCATCATTAGGTTTGTTCATAAGTACTTAAGAATGTATTTACAACATCTTAAGTACTTAGTAAGAACAACACACTGCAATATATTGCAAAACAACTTTTACATTCTGAATTTCAGATAATTATAAGGCAAAAAAGACATAGCAAGTTTACATGCTATAGTTTATAATAAACAAATAATTCATTACCCGATGATAGTCTTTGCGAAGCAAGACTCGTGACACAAAAACCAGAGTTATAATTTTATTAAATCATATAAAAAAAACAGTTCACAGAATGGACGAAAACAGTTCTAAAAGCTAAACTATCCATCTGATAGCTCAGATAAATGCAAAGAGTGACCTGAAATGTCGATAAGGGCACCCATGCTGATCTCCAGCACCTGGAGTTGATGAAATAATCTTTTGACAAGAATAGGGAGTATAATCCTGTAACATCCATCAAAATATTTTTTGTTGAAATTCATCATGTTCTAGCATATAAAAACAAAAGAACTCTGCGTGTTTTCAAACTTAGTTTCAAAGTGCAAAATGGCAATTGCACAAGTCATCAGCAAGAAGAACATATTTGAAAACATCCCAAAAATCAGTGAAGTTCAAAACTTACAGTTCTCTTCCCTTCCTTTCCATAATTATGGCGTATGTTATATGCATATTCTTTCTCAAACTTCTCCAAACCAACCTACAATCAGATCTTACATTTGATCAATCATTAATGTAATTTGATAAAAAGAAAGCAGCATATAGATATCTGGAGAGATATGGAATAAATGGTATAGATAGACAAGACAAATTGAGAGTGATTTAAAGGCATTCTGAAATAATACACAAATAATCAAACCCAAAACTTTTGATTCTTATTCTAATTGGCTATTCCTGTAAGTGAAAATAGACATTTTTTCACATATTTAGCCTTAAAATATGAAGGAATTTGTAAGATTTTAGTTTCCATAAGAGATAATGCACAAGCATCATACTTACCTTTTTAGAGAACTCAACTCTCCAAAACGCAAGTGCATCATCTAGGTTCAAGCCGACACCCTGTTTACATTATGGAGAGAAAAACAAAAGATAATAAGACAGAGCACCGTAGACGAAGGGGGGAAAAACAGTAATTGAGAAGTAAATGGATTAAGAAAACATCTGATTGATTTTCTCCACTAATCAAGCATATTCCCACACAAAAAAAATTAGAATGAAGGGTATCAAAATGTTTTACTTTGAATTTCCTACCAGCATTTAGAACCCAACATAATCATATCACCATAAACCCTTCTTTAATGTTAAGAACTGCGCCAATATATCCAAATTGAATAAGTCAAAGTGTGGAATATCTTGTCATAATATTCTCAGACTCGAGGTATCATGATTCATATTTATAAAAAGCAACTATTTTGTTTTTTTAACACACAGTGCTGGACTTCGTTCCACTTATATCTCCAGTTAATTGACATGAAACTAAAAAATATGACTTAAACCGTCAGTATAATTCCAGCCAATCATCTTCCCTTCCCCGCCCTAGAGCAAGGAAAAAGGAAAAGAGATAAGGAAATGGAAAACTCTGTGAAACTGTAATCAGATGAGTTGCATGACAACTGTCCACTCGTGTGTAAATAAACAGCACGTCAAATGTCAAGCCTCATTTAACGCCTCACATTTAAAACAATCTACAATTATTTTTATTATGCTCAGATGGCTGTCAAATGCAACCTTCAGAAAGAGGCCTAGTTGCATCCTCCCTCCATGCTTTAAATGATGATCCTCTCTCAGCTGCATGAAAGTGGTATAAATCAGGACAGGTGAGACAAAACATAGAACAATATAAGAACTCTAAGAAAAAGATAAGTAAAGAAAAAAGAAAGAAATTATAGTTGAATCAACAGAGAAAACACAAAAATGTGGAGCATAATTTATGACCAATCTCTAACCTTATCAAATAGATGGCGCATGCACAAAGGAAATGAGCTCTTGGCAACTTGATCAATGTCTTTTAATGATAGCTCAGCATATTCTCTAGGCTGCAGAGTTTCTCAATCAAAATGACCACTGTCAATCCAACATTAAATAAAGACCTAATAATATTGATAAATTAACGGATATACAAGATGAATTACCTGAGAATAATCAGGACCCAGATAACTTGAGCACAGGGCTTCAACAATCTACATGGAAACCTAGTCAACTTCAATAAAATAAGAAAGGATATATTGATATAAAAAGAGAACACCACACTTACAGGAGTCAACCTATGTTTCTCTTCTTCTCTAATTGAAGATGTCCATTTCCTGCAACAATTAAATGCTACTCTAAGAATCTCAAATCCCAAAATCACACTTAAAGAAAGAAATTTCTAAGTGAGTATGATACAACCCTCCCCAAGAACATAGAAATTACATATGAGAACATTTATTGAGATCCAAATGAACAATGAAACCTGTTTGTAAGGATGAGTGCCTTGGACAGCTGGCTGCGGAAGAGTGAGGCTACAAGTGAATCAACCTGTGAAGTAAGCAGAATTGAAACATAAGCAAGATTTACTATAACCAATATTCCATGATTTTAAGCAAGAATGAATATAAAGTAATTACACTAGTCAACCTGATTCATTGCAACATACGCATATCCTTGTTTTAAAAACACTCTCCTTCTGGCTACAAGCTCTGGAACTTCCTCCCAGGGTACCTATATGGGAATGAAAGGCAAGATATACAAATGTAGCAACCCAAAAACTGAGAGAGGGAGCATGTTAAATAAAGATGACACATGAGTCAGCCTAGCAAATAAGAACGATAAGAACTCCTACTTTCTAGAAATGTCTTTCCATCCATATTGAAAGAAAGGTTCCTCCCACAAGATTATGCAATCTTATATCTATTATAACAGGACTCGGAAGAATAAATGAGAATGGGGTCGGAGTTAGAAGGTTGGATCTCTGTTAGGTAGTTATAGTTAGAATCTACCAAGGAGATGGAGAGTTAGGGACAGGGTTTAGGCTTAAATAGCAAGAGCAAGATAGGAGATAGGCATTAGGGAATTTAGATGTGAGAACTGAGCAAATGCTTAGTTGTGAAATTAGCGACTCTTTGTGAAGGGGAAATTCTAGGAAGAAGAATTCTTTCCTTTTCTCTGTTTGTGTTTCAGTTATCAATAACAGAATTTTTCTTTTTTTTTCTTCTATCCTCCATACGTTTTCTCTGTTCTTATTTGCTGGTTCTAACATATTGATATGACAGATACAATCAAATTCAAATTTTTCTTGATGAAAAATGTGTTGAAAGAAGACAATCCTTCAGATACTCCTCTCATATATAAACAAGTTTTTGAAAATTACAAAGAGACCCAAGGATAACTAATTACTGCTTCCTTACACTCTCCCCTCAAGCTGGTGGGCAGAAATCTGTTATGTTTGGCTTGCTACCTAATTCAACAAAGTGATTCCAACCAAAGGGCCTTTGTGAAGATATCACCTAATTGATCACCAAACTTTACATACAAAGACCATTTGTTTCCTTTTAATCATATCTCAAAGTGGCAATCCACTTTTATATGCTTAGTTCTATCATTGAAAACAGGGTGGCAGCAATATGCATATTATAACCTGATTGAATAAGGATTTTTCTCCTTAGCTGGGAGCTGTCAGTAGAATCAAATATTTTTATTGAACAAGAGAACCTATATTTTACAGAGAAGGACAAGAAATATTTAAAAAATTCAAGGTGTTAATATTTCAAGTAGAACTGCAGTCATATTTACACGGCGCACAGATACAATCTTTTGTAAGACAAGAAGTAAGAGGAAAAAGAAAAAAGATAATACACATACCTTGTAGAAGATAGCATCGGCTGCAAAAAAAGTAAAAGAAGCAAGGAAAAACATAGGCACATTAGATTTACAGTCAACAAGAGAAAACAACTCATAAACTTCAAAAAGGAAAATGAACCAAAACTTTTGAAAATCATAGATTTTCTTTTACATGTAGAATAACAGCACAAATATACCAATTTTGAATATTTCCCAAGATATAATTTTCAAAAACTAATCCATGCATCTGCTAGCTTAGTAGTGGATGTGGATTTATATATTAAAAGAATAACAAGAAAAAAATAAAAGAAAAGATTGACCTTTGTCTTACGTAGCAAAAATTAATTATATTCATAATCACTCAACCTCTTGCATGGTGCATGGAAATCATTTCTGCTGAAAAGAATAATGAAATGCACACAAATATGGTATATCGCCATTGCAAAAAGAAATCCATGTGCTCCTACCAGTGGGTGAAGGCTGACCCATGGAACGTGCCACTTGTCCCAGTTTCTCTTTTATGCTCTGAAAATCAAAAGTTCATTTCATTAGATTAGAGGTATCCGTCTCAAAAACTAAATAATTTTTGCATAAATCCACTTCATATAAACATTTACAATAAAAGAGCAAAGCAATAAAAACAAATGGCATGTGATTACCTCAAATTCCATATTACTAACAGCCCTGAAAGGATGGTCAAATTCGTCCATGATTGCCCTCTGTGCACTCATAAGTAAAGGATATGATAAATTAATATCTAACTTAAAATGCAAAAAACATGTAGCATTGGAAGATTCTACCTGAGCTTCACCAGTTTGAAGACGAAATCGGTAGCGAAAGAGTGCAGATTCCATAGAAAGAAACCATTTCCTCAAGTCCTCCCTGGATATACAGGTGAACAATTTAGTAATCAAATATGGAATAATTTAGAAACCTAATTAGGATTTCTTATAAGGTTTTATACTAATCAATTTGAGTTTCTTCCCTGCTTTGGTCCAGGTAAATTATCATTCAGGAATATGCGTGTTTAAAATATGTTGATGAGGAGTGATTTTCTTCCTCCACATACAACAGTGCTATAATAGTCCTAGTCTCTCATCATTACCAAATTTCAATTTCTGGCAATCTCCCATTCATATTGATCAAGTGTTATTTGTCAAACAACTGCATAGGATTATGCTTAGGATCACATAATAGTAGATGACTTTTACAAATGACATGGAAAAACAGTAAAAAAGAATACATAAGAGAGAGCTCTTACGTTCTGCAATACACCAGACGTAGAACAAAATGAGATATAATATCCTTGTTTAGAACCTCAGCTGCATGTTGATGTCCCATATGCACTTTCCACAGGTCTTTTACCTGTATAAATGAGGTTCACATGCAGATAGTCTATAAGACATAATTCTTTTTTTTAGTTTATTTTTTCTTTTTGGTGTTGATCAGAAGACAAAATCTAATAAATTAATAATCAATTAATATTGTCGAATGCAGGAATTTACCAAATTTTCCATCTCATCTGCTTTCTTTCCCCGTGACAAATTATCAGAAATCCCCTTGAGAACTGCAACAAGCATTTATATTCGTCTACTATCAACCACAACTCTAGAAATATTCATAACACTTAAAAAAAACACATACAAATATACACTATTTTAATACTGATTCAATATTTTAAAAAGAAAAAAAAAAACAAATCGTACTGGACACAATTAAAAGCAGAGTGGATTATCCAAACCCTAGGCAACGAGTATTGGAAGCATGTAATTGCACGATGAGCTGATTTTTTGAATTGGAAGCAGCAAAACACAATAAAATCACAGAAAATAAGATAATCGGAAGGAAGATGAAGAAAACAGACCTCGGAGGCGGTCGATGGCAAAGGACTCGAAATCCTCGAGCCTGACTTCAAGTGGCGGAGCAGAGCGATAGAGGGGAATTGTGGGAACCGCAACCGCAACGTTGGAAGAGGAGAAGTTCCTGCGATTCTGAGATCGAACAATTTCCATCTTCTCTTGTGGCACCGAAGCAAGTACAATGCAATCTCGATCTATAACACTGTCACCGTTTTCGTTGCTTCACTGTTTCTTTTTTGCCGCCACATAACCGAGTGTGTGGGGGAAAATGGCGGGAAATAATCTTGGTCTCTCTCTTATTTATTATTTAAAGGTGTCAGCTGCAAAGTTGTTAAAATAGAGAATTTACTTACTATCGAAAGGGTGAAAAAAATCGTAAATGTAAAATTACATGAATAGTAAAATCGACAATACAAAAGTATATACATATATATATTATTGTAATATTTATCAAAACTTGATTCTCATAAGATTTTATATTTTTAATTTAATTATAAAATAATAATATTCATAAATATAAAATAATATTTAAACAACAACTTAAATCATAAAAGATAAAAGTTATATTAATTTAATACAAAGCAATAAAATAAAAGGATCATAATAAAATAAGGGAAAAACATCTATTCTTTTAATGGATATAAGCGTATATCCTTTTAGATCCTAACCGTTGATTTCCGTCCATCAACGGTTATAATCTATTGGGCCAAACTTAATGAGCCAAATTTATTATTAATTAATTAATAATTTTAATCCAATAAATTACAACCGTTGATGAACGAAAATCAACGGTTAGAATCTAAAAGGATATAAGTTTATATCCTTTAAAATAATAGATGTTATTTCCATAAAATAATATATAGAAGTTAAAAACACAAAAACGAGAATTGGGGATAAATAGATGGATTCATTTCACCGTATAGGGAAATGGGGAATACTAACACGGTGTGTGCACGGTGTGTGCAATCTATCTATCTATATATATATATATATATATATATATATATATATATATATATATATATATATATATATATATAAGGAGAGTTCAATGTTAGAAACTTCGCTGATGTGTCACTCCCTGCTTAATTCTAAAAATTGTGTTCACACTACATATCATATAAAAACTTTCCTTCTTTGGTAAATTGGAAAAAGAATTTCTTTTAAAAATCGAATTTTTTTTTAAATCGAAAAATAAATGACCATTTGTAGTGGCAGACAAGGCATTGAATGTTCCACTGCCCATCACATTGGAATTTGTCAGCTGATTTAATTGCTTTTTACATTGAAATTGTTACTCAACTGATTTAAAATTCGAATTTTGAATTTAAAATATGGATGATGGGAAGAGATTTGGAAAGTTTTGGGTGGCAGACAACTCATTTAATTTCTGATTGCTTTTCTTTTGTTGCTTGTGTCGTCTATAAAAAGAAACGTTGTGCATTGTTATTTCGTTCTTCTGTCCTGTATACAATTTTCGCTAATTGTTTCCTTGAGAAAAATAGCTTCTATCTTTTCTTTCTTTTCTTCTTTTCTTCTTTGAGAAAAAAGAAATCACTCATAAATACAAAATGATAAGAAATTTACATACAAGTATTTTTTTAAGAAAAATATTTAACGTAAACGTTTTAAATTTATATGTATGACCAATTCAAAAAAATATAAAATTGTAAATTAAATAAAAAAATTAATTTTTTAAAGAATATTTATAATTAATTCAAAAGAATTTAAATTTTAAATTTTAATAAAATAAAAATGACATCTATCATTTTGTAAAAAATAAATTATAAAAATTTAATCACTACAAAAATGTAATTTAATATATAAGAAATAAATTAAGCTTTTATTCTTTTGATGTAAGAGTGAATTAACACAATTTTCTATGTCCTCAGTGAATAACTAGAAGTTATTACTTGGAGAATATGCACGATTTTTTATACATGTTTTCCACTACTTTTTGCGAAGGAATTTAAGTTTATTAATAATATTTATTATTATGTCTATTGAGTGAGAAAATTTTTTAATATTTAAAATTCAAACTTTTAAATTTAAATTTTGAATTTGATAGGTGAAAAAATAGTTCAGCATTTAATGTTTTTGCATTGTAAAAAGAGATATATATAATAAATTTAAATTTAATATAAAATTATAGATTTAACAATAAAATATTTAAAATTATAAAAATACATTTATAGTTGATAAAAATTATTTAAAATTTCAAATATAAAAGAAAAAAAATAAAAAATGGCATAATTTATACTTTACAAAAATAAATTTAAATTTTAACATAAAAATTTTTAATATACATGTATAACCAATTAAAAAAATATATAAAAATCATAAATTAAAATAGAATAAAATTATATAAAAAAATATGTATAATTAATATAAAAAGTTTTAAATTTTAAATTTAAATAAAAAAATAACGTCCGTCATTCTGTAATTTTTTAAAAAAAAATTTAAGAACTATAAAAATGAAAAAATTTATTTAGTACATACGAAAGAAATTAAACTTTCATTTTTTTATTGCAAGAGTGTAATTAACACAAATACTTGCAAAAAATAATTATTTATATAAAATATTGACAACTAGAGGTGGAAAACTGGGCTCGGCCCGGAGGGCCGGCCCGCCAACATATTTTTATAATTCAATTGAAATTTTATATTTCTTCTTTTATAATTAAATTACTAAATCTGATCTCAATTTTTATAAATATAAATTTGTGAAATTTCAAAGATTAACGACACAAGTCTTTGCAAAAAAAATAATTATTTATTGTTATTTTATAAATCTGATTGTAGTAAATAAAAGTTCATTTATGAGATAAAATGTTAAAACCTAGACGCAACTATAAAAATCTTTTTTTGTGGATAAGTATAAAAACCTTTTACATGCTGATAGTTAGAGGAGGCAAACTGGACTCGGCCCAGAGGGCCGACCCACAAACACATGTTTATAATGAAATTAAAATTTCATCTTTTTTCTTTTATAATTAAATTCCTAAATATGATTTTAATTTTGGTAAATACAAATTTGTAAAATTTCAAATACTAACGACACAAATCCTTGCAAATAATAATTATAGTTAGCAATGATTTGTACGCATTTTTCTTTTTATATCCCTTTCTCATGTTAACATGGTGTATTATAACGTATTATGATGTAGTTGTATGCAAAATTAATTATCCATCTGAATAGCAGATTTTTGTTTGTGGTTTTTATTTGCAAAGTTTTGTGTCAATGCTGTAATTTTTTTCACCTGAAATATAGAACAAAATAACAACAAAGTTTTTTGTAAGTATAAGGTTTGCAGTGCGACTAACCAATCACAGAGGACGACAAAATTTTTGATCTTTTTTCTCCGTGCATCGCACGGGTAATATACTAGTTGTGGTGGTAAACTATTGTTATCTATTGGTATTTTAAATTGCAATGGTATATCTGATTATTTTCATATTTTCTGAAGAAAAAAAAAATAATCCTATTTTAAAATAGGATGATCATATTTGTTATGTAATTATCACTATAGAAAAGGAAATAAATCATCAATAGGATAATAATGGAAATAATTTTGGGAAAGATTCAAATGATTTAATTAAAACATATTTTCTTGAAGAACGAGTTTCGGGAGGAATAATGATAACAAAATCCTAGTCCCTAATAACTTGAAGGCCAAGTTTCGTATGACTTTCAAAAGCTCATATAGTGGCAACAAAAGTAATAATCACTGGTGTTGCACCTCAAATTTGGGGCTCTTCCATGATTTATCCTAGCATTTGTCTCTAGATTTATTTATGGCATCATTGTGTGAGGATGAAGTGTTTCACATATTCTCATGGCTTCCCGCAAAATCAGTTTGCAAATTGAAGTCTATTTGCAACTCCTTCTTAGACTTTTCTGAAGAAACCTTATTTTGCATGCAGCAGGCACAAAATATGTTACTAAAGGATGATACTTGCTTCATTGTTCAGCCAGACACAAACCAGAGGTACAATGACAGAATTGAAATCCACCCATTACCTCAAGAGGAGTTATCTTCTGGAGTGCCTAAGAATTTTCTCACATTCTTAGGAAAATCAGCAAGAATCCTTGCATCAAGTAATGGGTTGGTTTTGTGTAGAAGCACAACAAAGAGCCCGGTTGAGTTGTTTATTTGCAATCCTGTATCACAAACATGGCTTCCCATTCCTACCCCAACAGGTGTGCATGAAACTCCTGATGCTGATATCAATTTGTTTTTTGAGTGCATTAATAAAGATCTTGATTTTGATGACTATAGGATATTCTTGATTGACAAACCCCTTGAATGGTCATCATATCTTGATTTAAAAGTGTATTTTCCAAAGGAAGGTGTATGGAAAGCAATGGAGACGAGTTTTTTCATTGGTAGTAGAAGCATGAGACTTGAGATGCCTGTGTATCTTCATAGCTCTCTCCACTTTATATCAAATAGTTTTGATTATATTGACAGGGGAAGTCGTTATTTTAGGCCATATATAATGGCATACAATTTTGAGAGTGGTCAATCAAGAATGTTTAGGCTCCCCAATGATGCAAGAAAAGGTTCTAATCATGATAGTTGTGACATGGGTATTTTTGAATGGGGGAAGGTGACAAGTTTGGATTATTCTATTTGTTTGGTGAGATACATGAAATTTGTGTTTACCATATGGGTTTTGGTGGACTACGAGTCAAATTTGTGGAGAAAGGTTTTGAAAATAAGGGTGAAAGCTATGGGGTTGAATGAGGAAGATCCAAGGGTTCAAGGGTTCACAATCATGAATGGTGATTGTTTGATATTTGCCACCAAGAAAAATGTTTATGGATTCGATTTGAGTGGTCAAAATTCTTGGAGATTGAGAGAGATATGCGAGCATGAATGGGAAACCAGAGTTTGTTTCACTTTCTACTCTAACACTCTTAGACCATGTGGAACTGGTGCTTCAACTTTTCCTGGTTAAGTTATGGCTAGCGCTTATCTCAGTGAAGATAACACTACTTCGGCATTATGCACTTCTGCTTATCCCAGTAAAGCTGTGTAGGACTTTTGTCTAGCCTGGAATTGGTGCCCTTTTTAATTTTTTTATTCATTTACTGGTGTTTTGTGGAATGAAAACTCTGTTTTGTGTTTTTATGTTGTTAGATTAAGGAT